TGGACAGGGCCTCGGAGCCTTGACCTTGACGTGACCTGAACAGGGCCGGGCCGGCCATGGATCAGGGCCGGTCCTCGAGACTTGGGTTTGGCCGGCGCCGGCTGCGCTTCCCGGGGCTACTGCTGCTTTACGCCCTTCTGGGTGGCGCGCGTGTTACTGGATAAATGTTTGAATCGCCACCGGGCATTTCTCAACGTCCGTGGTCACCAAGCTCGCCAAAAATGCGGTCCCCACTTGAGTGCCTCTCTTTGTCTGAAGGGCTTCTTTAACATCATTATGCACGCATCTCCAAACACAATTATTCGCCGCATCATTCAGCTATGCATGAAGCGTTAATGAGTTGAGTTGATGTGTCCTCCAACCACGAGGCGTAATGGCGACGATGACGACAGCGACGCGCCTCTCGTGACGTCGCCGCACACGTCCTTATACTCGACCCTCGCCATGCAGACATTGGGGACAGCTTCAAACAAAATTTTTGACCACAAGGGAATGACGAAACCGGCGCGTGTCATGTGGTCTTGCGTCAGAGCACAGCCCAACTTGTGTCGGGATGTTAAACGAAGCGGGCGGACCGTTCGTCCCGCGGTATTCGCCATCACTTGAATGTCGTTGGTACCTCCCTTGTGCGTTAAGTCACCGTGTTCGTGCATACGACATGCGTGCGATAGCGACGCGATTACTCAAGGCCCTCTGCGACAGTGGCCGCGGCGCAGTGGCATAGTTACGGCAACGGTGATTGGCTACGATCACACAGGCTTACTCTAAAGCCGTCGTGTATTCCTTGTTACTCTGAGATCCCGTACATGGGGACGAATTGCCACATCGCTCATTACCTTGTTCCCAAGACCCGCCAGAGGCAAATTAAGGCGTACATACAACCATAAGCTTGCTTCATTTTATCCCTACCAACGCCATATCTGACAACTGAGCACTTTTAGGAACGATGGATCGATGCCTATGACCTTCTGACACTTTTCAACCAACTTGCATACACCTGCTCTCCAAATGCAAGAGCCAGTTGCATGATTAACGTCATGGTTACACGCAAATATGTCATCCGTAAACGGCCAATCTTTCACCTTAAGGTACAATGTCATGCTTGCCAATGCTTCGACTGCTCATCTTGCGTAACGCTTAATAGCCAATAGCCCGTTGACCATGTCGAATCATAGGTCACAACCTTCCAATGCACTCGCATCTGCCACAAAACATGTTACAAAGCAGGGCAACATAGAAACCTGAGCCCTTCACTCGGGGCATTACGGCTTGGAGAGCCGCTCAGACCAGCTGGCCACGCGCGGGCACGGCCAGGTCACAGACGGGCTCCGCCTGCCGGGCCTGTTGCGGGCGGCTCCGAGTGGCCGGCGTGCAGCGCGGTGCAGGTGACAGGGCCACCGGGCCGCCGGCCGGGGGCTGTGTATTTGGCCAGCGGAGGGGCAGCGTCGCACTCACAGGACAACAGCGACGCCGGCCAACCTAAACAAACGGCGCGGCCGTCGCCACAGTTGGGACGTGTCCTCCGGCGACGTATACACACTCAGGACTGCAGGTGGACCGTGTCGGCCCCCTACCACCCCTACCCCCCCCCCCCCCATCTCCCCGCCGGTCGTCCGGCGGGAGGGTCCGCTGGGGGTAGCGGTGGCTGTGGCGACGGCGGCGGCGGTGGCGGCGGCGGCAGCTCGCTCCCAGGCGGCCCGCTCGAGCCGGACACCTCGGCTTGTCCGTGCCAGCCTCCGCCACGAGAGAGTCTCGCCGGATGTCGTCCCATGCGCCGGTCCCAGGCCGGCTGTCATGAGGGGATGCTGGGGAGGGGGCCGGCTGCACGCCGTCCCACGGGGCCTGTCGGTGTCCGGCGCCGGATACCACGTCCGCGCGGGGCGTGTACATCGGACACGGGGAAAGCGAGCACCGCCGGCTGCCGAGGTGCGGCGCCCGCCCCGCGGCGGCAGCGGTGGAGCGAGCGCGTACCACCGGCTGCCGAGGCGCGGCGCCCGCCCCGCGGCGGCAGCAACGGCTGATAACCGGGGGCGCGTGCTGAGCTGGACAATGCGATCAAGCCTTGAGATGGCCGAGCTTCCAGGATCCCAACACCTGGGATACATGTCATTAATCCTCTAAAGCGCCGACCTTATGAGCCGAAGGCATGGTCTTAAAAAGCACCGCGTTTTTCGTTTCAGAAAGTAGTCGAAATCCTGGCTGTAATCTTGCGAGGCTTACCGCTGCGTTATGCTTTCATCGCACTTAACGGCTCAGCGGGGCACCTTCAGAGTACGCACACAGTATTGGAATTTTCCATATGTACAGCATGGGATTGGCCTTGAGATATCTTTAGTTGAAGCGCTGAGGGATAGATGGCCGTTAGCATCCATGTCGTCTTTATGTCTGCAAACTTGCGCCTGTAATTTCTGCGTCTTTGATTGCGCCCATCCCTTCCGCATGCACGACCAATCCAGAGGCATGAAACTATTGGCTGGCAGTATAGTACACTCAGTGGGCTCAGATTTTAAGGGTCTGATATGCATTGCTTTTGTGAGGGGTGGACAACATGGACTGAATGTTTGTGAAAACTGATGCTTTACGTGCACTTCTCCCATGTTGTAAGATATGCTCACAGTGTGGCCTTAGCGCGTCGGTGGGTCGGCATTTTCTGTAAAACCGTGCAGGATAAGTGAGGCTTGACTGACCCTTTGCTGCCTGGATACGCGGGCGGTAGCGCATGATATGTCGTTATGCCATATCACATTATATCAGCCATATCCACCGGCGTATCATGCATATCATGTCGCCATCACCGGCGTACCATGCCAGTAGATCTACCACGTCAGCAAGTGGTCTTTTTATTTTTGCTCCCGGGCTTTGTTGCGGCTATACAAATGATTGATGTATACTGCGATTGTCACTGTTCACGCAATCTGTATGCATTTGGGTCGCAGTGGTATACAGACAGGGCGCTGCACATCCAGTATTGTGCGAATGCCAGTGTCAAGCTTCGCTGCCTGACTGAGAGGACTGGCTCAGAGCTGTGTGCCATCAGTCATGGCATTTCTGAATCTGCGCGATATGCGATATGCGATATGCGATATGCGATATGCGATATACGCAAGAAAGGCATTGAGCGCTGGAGTTGTCGGCATTTTTTGTTTGTTTTTTACGCTGATAATTATCGACCTCCAATATGCCAGCAGTTGCCGGTTAAACAACGTTATCGATTCTCAGGAGTGTCTGCTATCAAACAGGCGGATTATAGGGGAATTAGATCCCAGCTTTTGCGGTACGAAGAGGCTGGGAACTCAATCCGCGAGTACATTATGCATGCCTCGTATGGTAAAGCTCCGAGTGCGCTTCTCTTTTCCCCGGTGGCCGATTGTCCAGGAGCTCACGGGATCATTTGTTTGATCTACACTTCGGCAGGCGTTGTCCACGGCTGCGCGACCTTAACGACGATGCCAACTAAATCCCTTGCGGTGCGCGTCCGTGCTGAAGAATGTGTTCAGCCGAGAGCGAAGGAGTTGACAGAGATCGAGCTGTCAGGAGTCATTAAACATGTTTGCGGCTGAGGATGCCTGGACGGCCCTTATACGCAACGCCGCGTCGTTTTTCATCATCTCCAGCGTGCCATGAGTGGCGGATGGGATCCCTTACCAATTATTCTTCTCATAGGATCGGTATTACCCATCCTGGGATAGTCATTATATAGGATGAATTTCATGGATGGGTATTACCCATCCTGGAAGAGGTATTGTGTAGGATGGGTGTTATGGATGGGTATTACCCTTCCCACTGCATCCCAACGTTACGCGCTGGGTAACGTCCGCCAACGACCGTTCCGGTTGACAGGAGTTTAGATTGATATGATATCGATAGGAGGGCATGTATGCGCCTCACAGTGGCGCCGTGTATGCTATGCCACATACTATGACATATAGTCATAGTTATTTGGCGACACTACTTCCACAAAGCTGACGTCATAGTGTGTGGCAACGATGCTTCTACAAACCACGTCTTTCGTCAAGTCTGTCCGTTGCCTGGTCTCGCTGAGACTCTACAGGGAAGGCAATAATGCCGTGGCTTTGACACTGTTTGGTAAATTGCTTGTCATTTTGCCCTTGCGCATCAAACAACGAGAGTTTTTCCTGGCACCCACAGCATCGTGTAGAGCGTTTCATGCTCGCATATCTCGTAACCTTCAACACTTTGTTGATGTCTTGTCGATTGTTAAAGTCAAAGTTGCAGTACATGCAGGCACGGACACAAGCATGCGCAGGGAGCGACAAGATGGCGGAGACACGGACGGAGACTGGACGAGGTTGGCGAATGGTGCGGAGGCGGGAAGGGGCGGGTGACTAGTTCCAGCGAAGCTCTTACGCGATGCGGTTAGCCAACCAATCGCTTTTTAATGATCGAGGATCGGGGGTGAGGCGGGAGCAAAGGCGGATGCGAAAATTAAGACAAAGACAGGTACAGATTGAGTTAGGGACAGACACAGAGACATAGATAGAGACAGAGACAGTGGCAGTAACAGTGACAGTGGGGATGACGGGCAGGACAGTGACGACAAAGGTGACTGTTACAGTGACAGCGACAGCGGCAGTATCGGTGACGGCGACGGCGACAGCGACGGCGACGATGACGGTGGCGTTTGCACCAAGCAGAGGCGTAGGCAAACATATAGGCAGAAACATGGGCAGAAGCAGAGGCGGAGATGGCAGCAGAAGAGCAGGGATACAGACAAATACATAGGCAGATCAATTCCAAAGACTTTTTGCCCCTATCCTTCCAAGCCCCAAATAACACTTTGGAAACTTTGGAAATCAAAAAATTTGGAATCAAGCCGTCGCCTCTAGTTAGGAGACGCAGAGGGAAAGACAAAGGGATGGATGTCATGAAGCGGAGGTATGTTCTGGGGACATGGAGACAGATCGGAGCGGAGATGAGGTGGTGCAGGGACCAGAGCGATGTCCGAGCGCGGCGCCTCCTGACTGGCTTTGCTCTGACAGGCAGCGGCAGCAGCCGTCGGCGGCGGCGGCGGCGGCGACGGCGGCGAACACGTAGTCGCTGCCGACCAGACATTTGCGGGCCCGAGGCGGCCTGTATGCCCGTCGGCGACTCGTTCAAGTGCGTATGCCCGCGCGACCTCTCCGAGGTGACGCCCGAACAGCGGTGCCACTATGCCGACGACACGACGCCGGTCACCACCAGCAGCGACGCACTCACCATGGCGACCGGTACGTGTCGCCCGCGGCCACCAGTTGTCCATAACGCTCACGGTCCCCGTTGGCCGACCCTGGCCTCATCGCTCGCGGCCACCAGCTGCACGAAACGCCCTACGGCGCTGGCCAACGGCGCGTGCCGTTTGCGGCCACCAGCTGCTGCCACCAGCTGCATGTCCACTAGCTCGATGACCCTGGCCACCTGTATCGTCTGGCTGGTTATTAGGTGCCCAAAACTTCAAATGCTCACTAATAAGCTGAATGCCTGGCCACCAGTATGCGGTGTCCATAGCCGATTTCAGTCCATAACGTTAGGGAAATGGTCAGCTGTGTCTCTTCGAAGTCTTCTGTTGCCGCGTGCTTGTGAGTGGTCGTACTTGTGAATGTTCATCACCATCCCGCCTGTTTGCTCTCACCGCCCGGGCGGTTGCCTTATTCGATCCAGGTCACCTCTTCAAACTCCGTTAATGCACGCCTTTCTTCTATGCCCGCTGGCGTGGGCGTGGTGTTTGTCATTCGCACTCTTTCTAGTGTAGCTAGGACCTCAAAACACCTCGACACTCGGGTCTCCACATAGCTCTCTTCTGCGAGCAACATCTTTCCAACACTATTGAACTGTATTGCATTGTGGATGGTTTAAAAATTTCTTAGATATTTCTGTTCATAAAAAAGCGCTCATAATGCTCGTAGTTTGTCAGGAATGTGACGTGACAAATTTCTGTCACTTTAGTCAGCTTTTTTTACTACTGCCTTCTCGGTTTTGGCTGCTCAGGTGGAACTGATGGATTTATATCGGCATCGTTACGTCGACTATTTGCGGGTGTCGACTATACGTCACAGCAACCCTGTTACTCAAAGATTGACAGTCAATCCATCAATGACATCAATGTCGGAACGTTGCATCAATGCTACACCACGGCCCATGCACACCTGATGCAACATGAACCGGTCGCCATCCCGAAAGAAAACTAACATCGCTACATCAAGGTCTGACTGGCAGACGCAAAATGTCTCGCGGCGTATGCAGCACATGTACTAAACAACTACTGTGTATAGCATGGGGGCGCTCTAGTTACACTCTGAACTTAAAACGCACGTTACTACCGATCGCAAAATTGTAAACGATATAAGAGGTTTAGCTAGTTAGTTGTAGTAGCCAAACGTTAGAAAACAAGAGTTCACAACGATTTGCAAAAGAACCTTGTGCTTACCCCAACACGTGTGCTGCCGTGCATCAGCTATCTGGCTGAAGACTGGTATCTGTTCCCTAGCTTTGGAGTAGATCGCCCTGATACTAACAGGACATGATAAAGCTCAGCCCACGCTCTCTCACCGCAATAATCAGCGCAATCATCACACACCAGCGCAATCAACACACCATCATCGGGACATTGGTCCACGGGGCATGAGTGTGCGGAGGCGAAAGGTCATTGTTTGACCCCAGTGCCCTTATTTCGTCGGGTGGAGTGCTCTGTCGGACCCCGCTGTAGACCGACACGGACAGAGATGTCCGCCGGAGGGCACAGATCGGCCTTGACCCCGTGCTCCGTGTCCCCGCCAGGCCGCCCCTGCCCGAACCCCAAGTCCCTCTGTGGGATGGAGGCCGCCTGCCAGATGGTGGATGACTCGGACCACGTCTGCATCTGTCCGCATGACCTGACGGAGCCCACTGGCGACTCGCCACAAAACTTCCGGTGCAACCGCAACGTAGGTTAGTGCCAGCGCACAGCTGCGGCGGCCGGTGAAATGCCGCGTTCCAAAAACGGCTCTTTTCAATCGTGGTTTGGGTGCACTCATTACACGCGCGTGCGTCTTTCTGTTTCGCCGAGTTGTGAATCGCATTGTCTTTTCAGCTTATTTATTCAATTCCTGTCGTTCTGTCTTCCCCTTCTTCTCTTCTTCTTCTTCTCCCTCCCCCTCTCTTTCTTTCTTTCTTTCATATTCGTTCTGAGTTCGTAAATGTTTTGCAGATTGCACTGGGAATCTCGCACATCAGACTGTTTGCTTGTCTAACCCCATAATTTTGGTGTGTTTGCCTGATACAGTGGAGGACGACTCGTCGCCGCATCCATATCTTCTCAGTACAAACAACGGGGATAGCGGTCCACAGGTCAGTGGCCCTGGCCGAGCTGGCATCACATGTCAGCGGCTCTATATCGCCACTGGCGTGGCGTGCGGTAAGATAATTTGTGTGTATGTATTTGTGTGTCGGTGTCAATCAGTTCAGCAGCACCGTCGTTTCTGGGTCACACGTGTGGGGATTTGTGTGCGGTTCCGGGACGGGGTAGATACTCCCGACCACCTTTCCAGGGATGGTGAATGTGTGGAGATACAAAACAATAATTTGACCCGCCCGGACCGCGCAGGGGGGGGGGGCTGGGGGGGGGGGGGATACATCAAGGGTCACCCAGACCAAGCACGCCCCTTCCAACAGCCGTTTCTTAAAACCTGGGAAGATTGTCCGGCATGATATCGCTCAGTGTTGGTTGCGCTGACGCTTCAGCTCTATAAAACTCTCAACAATCTTTCTGAATTTCCGACTTCTTCAGCGTCCAGTGCGGTGCACAGATTCCTTTCGGTGTGTCCAAAGCACTCTCACCGCGTCCCGACTCCCCACCATATCCTGGATCTGCATGTAGGAGTGCTCCCCCCTCCCGGCCTGGCGCACAGCTTTCACCGCTGGGCGTCCCTGGCCGCCGCAGGGTCTGGCGCCCGGCGTGCCCGGCTGGGTGCTGGTGCTGGTGCCCAGCCTGATCGGCGCGCTGGTGCTGGTGCTGGTGCTGGTCTCCTGCTGGCGCCGGAGGCTCGCCGGCGCCGGAGGTAGTCGCGCCGCCGCGCGCAAGCTCGAGCACAGAAAGCTGGTGAGTGGCGCGATGTATGCTCGCAAGCTTGAGCACGGAAAGCTGGTGAGAGGCGCGACGTGCGCCCGCAAGCTTCAGCACGGAAAGCTGATGAGTGCCGCGATGTGCGTTCACAAGCTTAGGCATGGAAAGCTGGTAAGTCGCGCGATGTGCGCTCGGCTCTTGTGACGCGGTTGTGGGGGCGCGTCGTGTGATCTCTGCTCAGTTTTGTAAGGATACGATGATGACTGAGTTTGTTTGCCTGCAGAATTTGTCCGGTGATGTGGGTCATAATTGTCCTGGTCATGTGCAAGAAACTCATTGCCTGCAGTTAGTGAATCGCTTTTGTCGTTCAATTTTAGAGGATGCTAATAAGAACTTATCGGTCCTTTTTCCACAGAACTTGCCCGTCACTATCACAGAGAACATAGTGCTGGACGACAGAGTGCATTCGAATCCAAACTACTACCACGAGTCTCCCTGGACATCGCCACTAAGTTCTATGAAAGTTGTTCATATCCTGAAGGAGCAGGTTGTCAACATGTCCGAAATCGGCCAGGGATGCTTCGGAAAAGTGTACAAAGGTGAGATGAACGCGTTCCCAAATCTCTGCTGTGATCTCCAGCGTGTGATCTGCTAGCCTGTGTTTTTTTTGGGGGGGGAGGGGGGCTTCTTGTCTGACATCGGCTCCATACCACACTTGCCGAGCCGAGAGTATCGGCTTCGTCCCAAACTTCGGCCCAGCGCACGTATGGTCTAAATTTGACCACGTTTGATAATCCGCCTTCCATGGACCGTGACAGCCTAAATCAGGCGATTAATGAGTAGAGGTCATTGGTGGAAAAGTGGACGGTGAGGGTGGGACGGCTGCCTCATCCCCTGTACTCTCACTACGTCTGAATAGCATTGGATGATTTAGCGTTGTACGGAACAAAGCAGTAAACTTAGGTGCCGAAATCGGTTGACCCTTCGGATTTCACCTACTTTCCTTTCATTTTTTCAAGGGTGGCCTTTTGGCGTGGTTGGAAGGGGCTTAAGACCCAATGCATAGGCAACTACACGAAGTAAAAAAAAAAATAAAGGGAACATGAAAATAAAAGTTGATTCAAAGCACGGGCGCATGCATGTAGTTCACCCCATCCCGACGATAAAGCTTATGACTCGCACTAATATATGCTTGAATAAGTATTAACGCAAAAACTGATTGGAGCAAACGCGTGAAAATAAGTATGCTAAAAGCGCAATGTTGTTTTACGTCATGCAGAAAACGCCACACACACGGCGCACTAATCTAGGTTTTCATTGGACAAAATTTAAGTGAGCCTCCGATTCAAAGCATGTTAAGTCCTTGTACACCATGCAAAAAAACCTGTGGGTGGTTAAATTATTTGATCAGTAAGTATTGTTGTTGTGCCCCATCCCCTCCCCCAACCCATTCCACACACTCGTAAACTCCTGCTTACGGCCGTGTGCGACCGCCCTATGTCAACTTTGGCGCCAAGTATAGCTAGCTGCTTCAACCGCAGCCTCTCGCCCGCCTTTTCGGAAATAAATCCCTCCAGTCGCGGATGCTCAAATTGCATTCACTGCCTGTCCGCTGGCAATCTGCGAGAGGTGGACATTCTCTGGAAGTTTGCGAGGAACTCAGCGCCCAGGCTCCGAATCCCATGCTAAAATTAGTATGAGCTCGCGGATTGCTGATGTGGAAAATTGGTTAATCACGTTCCAGCGGTCTCTGCAGTGGCAGCGATTGGCGCATGGCCCGCACGTGCAGGGTCCGGCGCAGTGTCGAGACCCGGGCATGTCTTCCGGCACCTGCGAGGTGGTAGACTGTCCCGCAGTACAGCAGTATGCCGCGGCACAGTATCGCAGATCCCCGATCAGGCGGTCCCACATTTGTGTCGCAGCAAAAACATCTGTCAAGCTCGCGGATGTTACGATATCACTTGTATGGCGAGTATTACCACATCAGTGCTACGCGACAAAGGTTGTGCTTCAAAAATGTGCATCAACTATTTCACTCAGGAGTGCAGTCCCGCAAAATGAGTTAGCGACAAGCATGATGGAAAATGACGAGACCTCAAAATAGCCAACAAACGAGTTTCTCCCCGGAGTGCACCCACTTGCTTCTCAAATTTGGAGGTGGGGGCTGGCGCCTTCCATCTGGATAGGACACTACATCCTGGTTATAGGCACTGTAAGAACTTTTGCAGCCTGTTTATAAGCAACATTACCTCGGTCACCACTTTTATGCGGCATTAGTGGTATAAGACAGAACGTGAGACAAAGATCAGTCCGCGTTAGGCGTCAGTGCGTATAATCGCAGACGGAACATCGCCAACCCTGATCTCATGCTGCCTGTCGCACTGCTGCCACACATCAGCTGGAGGCAGCCATGTGTGGGAGCAATGCGGCGATGTCTGCGAGATGAGACCAGGCCGTAGACGCCCGTGATATTGACCCCGGCGTGAAATCCTTGAAATGAAGAGTGATTTTCGCTGTATTTCAGTACCATGGTGACATGAACGATTTTTGATTCAGTCATGGATTAAGCTTTCTTATCAATTTGCGGTGATTTGCGTGTAATTAAAGGTTGTATAAGTTTTGACAATGGAGCCAATAACTGGTACATTTTCTGGTATAATATTTGAAGCCTACACATGACCTGTATCGCTCAGTTGGCGAACAAGTACTGGCAACAGAAGTAACGTCATTTTGAGGCAAAAGCCGCATTATCTTGTGTTATAGAGGTAATAACGGGCACGCAGTTTTGAAGGATAACCTGTGTTATGCGGCACTGTTCTTGCGTATAACTCTTTGCGCCTAAAGTGAAGATTGGTTCAAGCTTTTGAAGCGCGCGTTTTGCTTTTTACCATAAGCTTTCTGTATGACTATTTGTAGCCAACTTAGTGTCGCCACAAGCAGACATAAGAAATGTTTTTAACAGGAGTAATACCGCGTACAGCTCTTGTCGGCGCGGCTCTCGCGAGCGTTCAACCGCCATGGAGGTGCAGGCCGCGAGCGTGGTATCGCGGCGGCGGCTGGTGTTAAAGTTAGCTCCGGCGTCCTCCATGGTGCTGACTCACACCGCCGCTGCCGCCAGGGGTGTACCTGCCGTGCGAGGGAGAGCCCGTGAACGTGGCGGTAAAGCTGCTGAAGGAGACGGCCAACGTCGAGCTGCAGGAGGACTTCATCCGCGAGGTGGAGATCATGGCCAGCTGCCGGCACCAGAACATCGTCAGCCTACTGGGGGTTCTCGTGCAAGGTGGGCGGCGTTGTGATAGGACTGGGAGCTGGCCCGCGCTCGCCTTCTCTTTGACATATGTGATAACCCATGATGCATGGACAAATGTAGCTACAACGCGCTTGTAAGTTGCTTGGCAGGCACATGTTGAATCCCTTCCTAAGTTCTGGACGGCAATAGGAAGGGGCTGTGGCCATATATATTTCAATTTGTTTCGTTCCGCGCGCGGCTTGGACTTAGCGTTAACATTGTGAACAGCGACGTGTAGAGCCACTTAAATCCTGTCCTCTGATTCTTGCTGTCCATGCCATGATGGGCGGCCCTCAAGAAGGTGCGCATACCTTGCCGACTCAATGACGTGACATCCACTACCGAGATGCGGGTGATGTGCTGCTCGAAGCCGTTTAGGCCTGTCACTCCGTTTAGGTCCGTTTAGGTCCGTCACTTTTGCAGGGATGATCATTTCGGGATCATTTCGAGATGATCATTTCATAGGATCGGTCATTTAACACAGAACCGAATGATTTCACTTAGCATAACGTCTATTAGCCACGAAGCCCCTTCCCTTTTTTATTGTGAACGCCTGGAAGCCATACTAGCCCCTGAGTCCTTCTCCTTCCTCTGTAACGTATCGTGGGAGTGTAAAATCCTCCCCCTCACGCGGCGGTGCAGGACGTCTGAGTTTCACCTTACTTATGCGGCACAGAGTGCGTTAGTGATGACATGATAGGACGAGCTCCGGTAGGCGTAGATTAATAACACAAGGAACTTAAGAAGCAATTTCTGATGATTCTTAACGGCGTTAACATCGATTTACTCGGTCAACGAGTAAGCTGTGTTCGTCCATTACCGTTCGGCCGTGTCGGCCCGTTACCGTTCAGCCGTGTTGGCCCGTTACCGTTCAGCCGTGTTCGCCCGTTACCGTTCAGCATCCCCAGCCAGCTCTGTCTGGCGTTGGGACGCGTGGGCGTTGCGAGAGATCCGCTCACCTGCAGTTCGCTCGTGGAGCACTCTGGATTGTCGCACTCAATCCGCTTACGTAACGTTTGGAATACAGCGTCCTTTGGATGGGCGTCTTCGATCATGCTTTCAGCAAGGAATTATGCGACAAATGGGCGCACAGCCAGATTTCGAGCCGAGGTAGGAAACTCATCGGTGAAGCTTGCCAATATTGTTCATGTCCTTGGGTTCCTATTTACACTGTGTATGCGATGAAAAGACAAACAGGACTGAAAAGACATTGACGCGCGAAACAGTTTATAGACACGCACAATCAACCGCGAAATTCTGCTTTCTTGAAATTCTGGCACGTGCCGAACGCGGGCCCCAACTGATATGAGCACGGTGCTAAAGATGGTGACGTGCCTTATTATCATGATGTCGGCGCGGACACACCACGCATTGGTGTCATGTAAGTTCTTCAGCGATGCTCTCAGTGGTGTCCCAATGCCTTCAAATGTTGTCGGGACCACGTGACGCCACACAAATACATATGTAATAATGATATTGCCATTGCGAGTAAGGTGGGCGTCCAAGCGACTCTAACAACGTCGAAGGATTGGAGATCGTATAGCATTAACGGCCCTGCCCGGCCCCGTCACTCGCGCGTCGCCTATCATACGCTGTCGTGCACAAAGCATGGATCCAAGGATTTCAGGAATGTTTGATGACCCATGTCAGGTCACAGCAGCCAGGGGTGATCTGAGGTCAAATCCGCTGCCCGGTATGGATGTATAAGATAGAATACGTAGGTGGCATAAGTGCATGTGCCGGCTGCAACCCAAGAACAGATCTCAAGTGTTTGACCCACAGCTTACACTAGCAATTGACCAGAGAGCGGACAATGCCACCTTTTCCGAAGTGGAACTCGAACACGAGTCTCAGCGACGTAAACGGGAAGACTTGGTCATGGGAAATTCACGGGTGTGAAGCTCAGTGTGCTAGTGCAAACATCCACCAAAAATATGTACGTAAGTTCCGAGGCTTTGATCACAATAGGCGCAACGGTAAAGAACTGCGAAGTCATCGATTGCGTCGGCTGGAATTTTTGGACCAGAGCCGACTTTTAGTCAGACAATGTTCCAGCAATATCGCTTGCGAATGGTACACACATGCGAAATGCGGGTTTTGCTCTACATCCCAAGCTCATAAGAAAAGAATAGCATGATACAAGTGAATCCTGTTAGTATGGATTCCTTAAGGCGACGGACTCCATTCCTTCGCGTCTCGGTATCAGCTGAACGGCGCCAGCCATTTGTACAGCGAGAGGATCCCTCCGGTATCACCTAGCTGCCCCACACCGAAAAAGGCGCTGTATTGGCCAGCGTTCAAACGCATCGCACTCCTCGAACGCGCATCGAGGCTCGTTCGACCTGTCGACGCCGCGCCGCTGTTTCCAGACACGGCCGTCACGCCATGGATGGTGTTCGAGTACATGGCGTACGGCGATCTGGCCGAGCTGCTGCGCAAGAACGCGCCCAAGTGGGGCAGCCCGCAGAGCAGCGCTCTCGACATGGTAAATGGTGCATGGCACGTCATGACGTGCGGTGCATGGTGCATGGCACGACATGATGTCTAGTGCATGGTGCGGTATGTTCATGGGTCATGGTGCGGCGTGATTCTTGGAGCGTGATGTGACGTGGTGCGTGGTACATGGCGTGATGCGGGGTCTGATATGATGTGAAGTACGATGTGATACGCGATACACGGCGCGCGGCACGTGCCACAGTATGATGCGTGGGACATGGTGTGACATGTGGCTCGGCATGCGGTATGGCATGATGCGTGATAAACAAAGCATAACGCACTCGCCTCCACCTCGGTTGGTGCCGAGGTTGTCATGTTTGTCTGGCGAACAAGACACAGAGATGAGCAGCAAAAAAGGAAAAGAATCCACAAGCTCCGGCACTGAATATGTGTTTCTTATGTGTGAGTACGGATAGTTAAAGAAAACTTATCACGCTTCATAAAATTACGAAATCCCTCATCAATCATGTAATGGTGATCCAAAATTATCAAAATGATGTGGGCAGCTATTTTGCCAGCAAGATGAAGCGGGTGTGCTTTTTCTAAAATTCGTGCTGTACGAAGTGGGTTAGCGCGCTATGGCATAGCAATAACCCACATTGAGCCTTTTGACCCTTTTTTATGCGCATGTGAATCGTAACGCAGACGTAATAACAGGGCAAATTGTATGCATATATATATATATATATATATATATATATATATATATATATATATATATATATATATGTGCGTGTATCGTGCTTCGTCCTTGGCTCTGTATAAATCTCGACAAATGATCGAGATTGATGCCCAGGAAGAACCAAGCTCGAAATAATTCTTTGCAACGAAGGGATATCACAACTACTAACAACCAGTGTTATCTGTTCAAACTGAGGCCGACATCCAACCCTCAGAGTCAGCTTTAAGCATGATTTTAACTTACACTGCCTTGATCCAGGTCCAGGCTCGGAGCCGCCTGCGCCAAAAATGTGTGAAATTACGTCACTTTGGCTTTGTCCGCAAATTACGTCCGCATTTTTTCGGCTTGTCACGCTCCAGTGCACTGATACAGCCCATCCAAAACGTCTTCCAACGGCGACTGTCTCCTTTCGTTTATGTCATGCTAGCATCTATATGGTGATAACAGCGCTGTGATAACACCCGCTTGTCCCATGCTTCAAAAGGTGACAAGTGACCGCCCATAGCTTACGGTACATATTTTCAGCCATTTTCCCACTCTCCCTCCCCATGATTGCGCACTGGTTACTCTGGGTGGCCTACCTCCCTCACTTCCCGTGGTCACACTGTGTACAGCGTAATCTCCCGAAAATAAGATATGCTTGGCCTCTCACTGAGCTAGTCATGCGGAATGAGAAACGATCGTGTCTTTTTTTGTAAGGGAGGCGAGCGGCACTTGGCGGTAAGGTTCCTGAAAATATTTTAGCAGGGTTGTAGGTTGTACCTTAACGCAACGTTACCCTGCGAAAAACACCCCATCCCTCCGTTGGCATCCTTCGGTTACACTTCATCAAGAAACCGCTTCCTCCTTCCCTGCGTAACGTGATTTGTGAGTGGTCCCTTACCGGTGCTATTATACAGGTCCCCCAGAATCAGGGTACCAGAGACCAGAGGTATGGGGTTCGGTTCCCCGCGGTGCCCACCCTTCTTGCCCAGGCGACAGACAAGCGATGCCGCGTAGCTTCAGCAGCTGAACGCGTCACAAAGCCCCAATGACACACAGTGCTATGTTGTAGAATGCTGTGCATGTTATGGGACGTAGTTGGCATGGCAGGCAGTCTGCCGACCTGCACCAGCTGAGTGTAGGCCCAGCGTCTTGCTTGTTATTGCACCGTCGCGCTGGCATACTGGCATCGTGCTGGCATGCTGGCTGATTCCGCCTGTCGCCGGTCTGAGGTCTTTCCTGCCAGCGGCCCGCTGCCCGCACCCGGCGTCTCCCCTCCCCCGCCGTCCCCGCCGGCCGGGGAGGGAGACGGGGTGACACGGCTGAGTCACGGCTGGCTTGGTAATCCCACTATCAGCGCAAGGTATTGGCCGGTGCCCTGCCGCCATAACACCCGCAGGCGTTGGCCATTCGCGTCAGGCAGCGGGGTGTTAGTGGGCGCCGCGTCCGACGCGCCCCTAGCGGGCCGTAACGACGCCGCTTCATCTCGCCGTCAGAAACCCGACCCACGAGCCATGTCCGGAGGTTTGATGATCATTACCCATTTGGCACAGCTTCGTCGACTGGACGTAATGCTATAAGTATTGCGACGTTAGCCCTGGAACTGAGCACTCCAGTGAAATGAGATTACGTGGGTGACGTATTCTAGGAACGTTGGGTGACTTAGAAGACTGACGCTGCTATTTTACGTTCAATGCATGCTCAATCTATTCCACGATATTCGTTTCCACACATTCAGCCCATCGAATGTCCCCAACATTGTCAAAGAGAGACCAATCTGCTATGAATGTAACCCCATACTGAGTGGTTTGCAGTTGCGGGCAGGAACAAGGGTCTCCTTTGAACGACTTCAATGGAGCTGTGAATACATACTTGTCCTCCAGGCTAAGCATCCAATCAAGCTATTGAACAAATGTAAAGGGAGATTTAGGTTGCCTTGAACTTTGCATCTTTCCATTTCTCTCTCTCTCTCTCTCTCTCCTCTCTCTCTCTCTCTCTCTCTCTCTCCTCTCTCTCTCTCTCTCTCCTCCTCTCTCTCTCTCGCTCTCTCTCTCTCTCTCTCTCTCTCTCTCCTCTCTCTCTCTCGCTCTCGCTATCTCTCTCTCTCTCTCTCTCTCTCTCTCTATCTCTCTCTCTCTCTCTCTCTCTCTCTCTCTCTCTCTCTCTCTATCTCTCTCTCTATCTATCTCTCTCTCTCTATCTCTCTCTCTCTCTCTCTCTCTCTCTCTCCTCTCTCTCTCTCTCTCCTCTCTGCTTCTCTCTCTCTCTCTCTCTCTCTCTCTCTCTCTCTCTCTCCTCTCTCTCTCTCTCTCTCTCTCTCTCTATCTCTCTCTCTCTCTCTCTCTCATCTCTCTTCTCTCTCTCTCTCTCTCTCTCTCTCTTCTCTCTCTCTCCTCTCTCTCTCTCTCTCTCTCTCTCTCGTCGCCAGCTTTCTTTGACAACGATGAGCAGGCCTTCTGGTCGTCTTCGTCGGCAGGGCACTCTGCACAGCTTCGCTGATCAGGTGGCCTCTGGCATGGAATATCTGGCGTCCCAGCACTTCGTGCATCGCGACTTGGCGTGCCGCAATATTCTGGTCGGAGAGCAGATGGTCGTCAAAATATCCGACTTCGGCATGAGTCGGGACATCTACACCTGCGACTACTACAAGGTGAGCTGCGAGCCGTCTCAAAGTCGCAGGCGTCAGTGGCGTCGGCCACCCGCCTGTCCATCGTCTCGCCAGCGAGCGCGCGAGCAACATCCTGGCGCTCGAGCGACGCAGCGCCGCTCGACGTCATTCACACTGAATGTGTTTGCGCTCGGATCAGAGGGCGGCAAAATTGCCATCACAGTCGGCCATTCCGAGGCAATGGGGTCGTTTCAAAGGTCACATTCCGGTTTCAGCACCTGCATTAAATCACTCTAAAAAGCCATAGGCGTAGCACTGGGTGGTGTTGTGGGGAAGCTAAACAAGACGTGTATCCGGCCAGGGGTCCTTTTCGTCTTGTTCGACCACCTCGAATGCATGTTACTCAATTTTACCGTTGCTGTGGCATCAATGCATTATATGCGATTGTGCAGCTTAATACTATGCATTCACCATATGCACAATACTCCACAGTTGTAGACGCTGTGTACGCACAATATTCCAGAGTTGTAGACGCTGTGTACGTCGGTCAGTGTACCTGACGTTGCCGACGAATTCTGCAATTCGCCAGCAATCTCCTCCTCCCACGTAGGCCAGCGGGGCGTCCGCGACAGCGTTCAATTTGCCAGCGTGCGCGGCTCGTTCCCACGCGCTGGGGTCGCTGTCCCCAGGTGGCCGGAGGGTCGCGCATGCTGCCCGTCCGCTGGATGGCCCCCGAGAGCATCAGCTACGGCAAGTTCACGCTCGAGTCGGACATCTGGAGCTATGGCGTCGTGCTCTGGGAGATATACGCCTACGGCAAACAGCCCTACTACGGCCACTCTAATAAGGAGGTGGGTGGAGTCTCAGGGCGAGCGGGCCTCGCAGGCTGGCGCGCGGCGGCAGTCCTGGTGGCGGCGCCAGCAGCGTCGCGGTGATCCATATCGCTGATGGGTTTTCGATATGGCAACAGGCGCGATTTGTTAGCTCTCGCTGAGTGGCCGCGTAGTGATTGGCTCTCGTGCAGAGGTACGTATCTGCTGCGCCATTTGGTCCGTGACCCATCAAAAGCAACAAATCGAAAACCGGTGCTACCGTGTCACCTAAGCAATCTGGACCCTTTCACCAACAAAGTAATTAAACAACGCGTCAAAAGCTATCTGTACAGGACACCGGGTAAATACAAAGCCGTACGACGAACCTGAGTCAGCAGAAAGACATCTGACACAATATTTTGTAGCCGAAGTATTCGCAGAGTGCCATCCTGCGCTCAGACAGACCCAGTGTTTTAACATAAAACGCTTTCACTGGGTCGAGAAAAAACTGGCCGAGCCATTGTACCACTTACCTGATCGGAATGAAAACTAATTGTGTAATAATGGGTTGCCTTGTGCGCCAGGGGATGAAACCGCAACATTCGTGAGAGTTGTCAGTTGCTAGCATGTAGGTAATACAGAAATGAAGCTAATGAAACCAGAAACATTCCGTGACCGACGTCAAGAGCTTTGATCAGTGTGCAGGAAAGCCCACTTCTCATAAGGACTTTTGGTTTTACTGATGTAACATTCGTATTTAATGCACAAACGTGATCCGAAACATCGTTCGAAATGGTTGGCTTTTGGTCTAGTCATGCATCGCAATTTTAATCAACGAAATCGATGAGCTTTGCGTTTGTAGTTTGAGAAATGGTGGCAAAAACACTGCGAAAGACACAATTTTATGGGTAGCGTTCACAACAAACAGGTCCTACACTTTTGTATAGTTGGCATTGCCGAATATCTCTCGGCTTAGGCCACAGTGTCTTGCATTCGAGATATGCTTAAAAGGCAGCATTGGCCACACTTTGACTCGTGATCTGTGGCTCGGAAGTTTTGAAATTTCTTAGCGAGTTTTAGCCGGTACATAAACCATCGTGTTACTAGTTTCAGGTCATCATCTTCTCTGGCTGCCAATGGTTTCTAAGATAATCCAGTGATCATCTGGTGGTCGTCAGTCCTTAAAAGCGCATCAGACGGGAGAATCTATGGTTCCCCCAGCGTCGCATGTGAGCCGCGTGTCGGCACACACCCCCTCCACCTTTGCCGATACAACTGTCCGTTTTTGCTATGTTAGAATCGATTTGGCTCACATCAATTAACGCCGCGACATCGAGATCTCGACTCAGTTTCCTTCCGTGTTTGTCAGCTCTTTCCCAACCGTACAATTTTACTGCTTCCATGTAAGTTAATTGGGGAAAGTGGGTGGTGACGATGTTGCTGCAATTTTGCATGATACGTCACCTGATCAAACAACTTCCAGGCACAAGGCTAACAATTGGCGTGGCGTAACCTTTAATTGGTTGCACTTGTGGCTGAGAGCTGAAACTGCGTTTAATAACTGTGAGAATAATAGCTTATAGAGAGCTTGATGGCTGGGTAAGGCTGGGCAGCCCAAGCTGATCCCTGAATCGTAATTCGAGAAGGGTTTAATGGTCTGGCGATCTCAGTTTAATACAAATCAGCACTCAGTTTGCTGCAGCCCCAAGTACATGTGAGATATAAAGTCATTAAAGGTCGGGACCCGCGTTTCCTACACCTATTAGGGCTTGTTCACTTTTGAAAAATATTGTAGCAGGCATCAGATATGATGAGATAAGCTCACTTATTACTACTGGTAAACTTTCAAGTGGAAAAAATTGCTCTAGACAACACAATTTCTCTGCTCAGTAAATACGGCCCCCAATACGTCATTGTCTGATTACGTCATCGTACCTTGCACAATATTTAGGGGATTTGCAATACAAAAATGTCAAGTGGACCATCAGAAACTTTGTTTTAAAAAATTGGCGAACAAATTACCCGAAGGCATTGGTTGAAACATCACACAATGCAACGAGCTCGCTCCTGACATTAGAATGGAAAGTTAGGAAATTGTTTCTATCCCACGATGATCGATACGCATAGACAGCCCCGTTCGTCCTGTCGTCGGCACGTTTTTCAGCATCAATCACGGTCCATCAATCACGGTATTCGCCCTACGTCACGTCACGTGACCACAAAGTCACGCGGCCCTTGATGTCATGCGCCGGCTGACGATGATCCCAGTATTTTTGTCAGCCCGTCAGTATGGAGAGAAAGCGTTATCAGAGTATGAATCCCTCTTATTGAAGCGGGGGTTTTATTTGGTAGGTTTTGTGTTGACGATTACGTTAGGTGGGGTTGGGGCACTTGTCTCTAATTTTAGGGGAAATGCAACGTGAGATAGATAAGAAGAGAATTGAAATGCCAAGAGTAGCCATAAAAAGGTGAGTGAGAGTGATTGCTGTGGTGTATGGTTGCGTTGCCTAGTAAATTGCCTAATTGCCTAGAATCCCTCTTACTGAAGCCGGATTTTATTCGGTAGGTTTTGTGTTGACGAATACGTGAGGTGGGGTTGGGGCACTTGTCTCTAATTTTAGGGAAAATGCAACGTGAGATAGATAAGAAGAGAGTTGAAATGTCAAGAGTAGCCATAAAAAGGTGAGTGAAAGTGATTGCTGTGGTGTATGGCAGTGTTGCCTGGTAAATTAATCGCGTTATAAGAAAACACTAAAATGAGAGGGAAGAAATTGGAAATGGGAAGAACCACTCACTTACGAATGGGATGGATGAGCAGAAGCAGAGCATACCGGAGCGGAAGCCGCACTTCCAAACGCCTCTTTGTACGTAGTGTGTCCGCGGTAATCCAGAGTTAGCGTGTGATCTGAAGTAAAAGGTAAAGCAAAAAGGGAAAGTAAAGCAAAAAACTTTCCTGTCAGCCCACACATCGGACGCACCGTCAGCACACCTGACGTCACTCATTCCAGCTGCCAATCGTGCTGCCGACAGATCGAGCGGGGCCTAACTCTGGCTTGCCGCCGACCATGACACACAGATCGAGCGGGGCCTAACTCTGGCTTGCCGCCGACCATGACACACAGATCGAGCGGGGCCTAACTCTGGCGTGCCGCCGGCCATGACACACAGATCGAGCGGGGCCTAACTCTGGCTTGCCGCCGACCATGACACACAGATCGAGCGGGGCCTAACTCTGGCTTGCCGCCGGCCATGACACATTACCTATAAGGGGGTGTTTTGGAAGTATGGCTTCTGTTCCGGTTTTACACTCATCTATCCATCCTTATGGTAAGTACTTCTTCTCATTTTCAATTCATTTCAGCTTTTCCCCGCTCATTTTAAGTGTTTACTTATAACGCTAATAATAACTGGGAAACGCAACCACACACTAAACCAATCATTGTCATTCACCTTTTCATGGCTACTCTTGGCATTTCAATGCCCTCCTTATCTATCTTGGGTCGCATTTCTCCCAAAATTGAAGACACGCGCTCCCACGCCACCTAACGTGCTCGCCAACACAAGAGCTACCAAATCAAACTCGCGCTTCTTTGACAGAATGATTCTTTAATCTGGTGGCACTTTCTCTCCATGCTGACGATCTGACAGAAAAATCTGGCGTCTTGGTCGGTTGGCGCATGACATCACAGGCCACGTGACTTTTTGGTCACGTGACGTGACGCAATACTGGGCCTAGATTGGTGCTGACAAATGTGCTGACGACAGATCAAACGCTGCCGGGCTGACAAAAAATTCTGGCATTATCGTCAGCGAGTGCGTGACCTCACAGGCCACGTGACTTTGTCGCCACGTGATGTGGCGTAGGGCGAATACTGGGCTGTGATTTGTGCTAACAAACGTGCTGACGACAGATTGAACGTTGCCTACGATATATTTATTCTAGCTCATTTACATTTGATTAATAAATTATAATCTCACAAACTCGGCTGGCAAATGTTCTGCTACCAAATCTAAAAGGTCAAGCGGGCTCAGCGTGACCGAAATGTAGTTGTTACTTAAAGTCTGGTAATTACTTTTGTTTGCAGCCAATCAGCGCGCTTCATCTTTTCTTGCCCGTCTTGCGATTGGGCACTGTGTCTGGACACATGCGGATGCGGCTTCACGCTTCATCGTCGTAATCCTGCTGTTTTGGGTTTATGTCATAAAAGCGAGTAATGAAAACAGATATGGGGAAGTGTAAGGTTGCGAATAGCTGCACCATGCTAGCAAAACCTCAAAAATGTGCAACATCATTATTTGTTGCTTTGAAACAATTCGCTTTTCTTGCATTTGATTTGGATGCCCCTCGCTTACACACAACTTTTGGTGTTGTAAGGGTTTTTGTTACAGTTTCAGTTACAGGTGTTGTAACAGTTTAAGTTACATCTGAGTTGTAAGGGTTTTTGAGAGTTATGGACTTTCAATCTCGGAAATCATCTTTGCAGATTTTGTGAGATGATACTTTTTATGTGACAGCATCAATGTTGCGCATGCTCCTTTTGCAGTCTGGGCCATTGTGTTGCATGTTCCTTTTGCAGTCTGGGCCACTGTGTGCTGAGTCTTGAAACCAGTTTTGTTGGAGTATATAGTTTTGGATATGCGTACTTTGGCAATTTCAATCATGTCAATACGATTGGTTTAAATAATGGCTCCCCCGGGCCAAGCCTGAGGTGGTCCAGCCTCAGGCCAGCGGCCGGTCCGGGCCAGGCTTGAGGTGGTCCAGCCCCAGGCCAGCGGCCGGTCCGGGCCAGCCTTGAGGTGGTCCAGCCCCAGGCCAGCGGCCGGTCCGGGCCAGCCTTGAGGTGGTCCAGCCTCAGGCTAGCGGCCGATCCGGGCCAGCCTTGAGGTGGTCCAGCCCCAGGCCAGCGGCCGGTCCGGGCCAGCCTTGAGGTGGTCCAGCCCCAGGCCAGCGGCCGGTCCGGGCCAGCCTTGAGGTGGTCCAGCCTCAGGCCAGAGGACGGTCCGGGTCAGGCTTGAGGTGGTCCAGCCCCAGGCCAGCGGCCGGTCCTGGTCAGGCTTGAGGTGGTCCAGCCCCAGGCCAGCGGACGGTCCGGGCCAGGCTTGAGGTGGTCCAGCCCCAGGCCAACGGCCGGTCCGAGGTGGTCCGGCCTCCTGAACCCAGTGGTTGCAGACCAGCTCACAGCGCTGTTCGAGAATATTGTGGAGGATGACGCACGCGAACACCATCGGCGGGACATTTTGAAACCGGCGCTCCGGTCTGTTCACCAGGCGCCGCCAGTGCTCTTTTAGGCGCCAAAAAGCCTGTTCGACTTCGGCTCGCACAGCTCCCAGTAAGGCGCTGCACTGCTCGTTCTTGGCGTGCTCAGTTGAGCATCGGTTGAAGGGTCCGTCGTGCCCCTTGGTGAGCCACGGGGGCATTGGGTACGCTACGCCTCTGGCGATTATCAAAGGTATCTCTCGGCCGCCCGGAACAGATGTCGCCTGAAACAAGACTCACACATGAATACCGTCAGTACGGCATGGGATGAACGAGACGACAAGGCAAGAAGCTGCTTTCCAGCATGTGAAGCAATGTAAGGTCAAATGGAGAAGACCGGACGCGCAATGTTACGTGCTTTATACCACACGTGAGAGATTATACAGAACGGTTTGACATGGATGCCTCGAGTGGTTGTAGTATAATACGTTTCCCAAACCTTTGAAAACGTTGTCCAGGCTGGCAGCCAAAAATTGCTGGCTGGCAGCCAGCAGAAGCCATGCTGGTGATCAGAGCCACGCTGAGACATCAGAGTGTGGGATGGACCATGGTAAGCCTTGTTGCATGCTAAGATTTGCAACAAAATTCTGCGGTTGTCTTGAACTGTCATGATAAGATGGTAAAGCTAGGTACACCTGAACCCTGATGCTCCTTACTCAAAAGTGTTCAGGCCAGTCAGCATCGCTCCATACAAGTACAGCAGTGTCCCACCAAGCTTTGCTGCGCTGTTTCTTCCACATGATCCTTCCAAGTTCGGTACATGGATCCTTGCCTTGGGCGTAGTCCATGGCAGTATTACCAGCAGCTACAGTCACCGCTCACAGGCTACTGCACTGTATACGTCACGGCCACGCACACGCAGAGCAAAACCAACGTCCAAAGACGGCGCGCAACTGCTTTGTCAACGCCTGGCTCCGGCCTCTTCAGGATTGGGGCGCTCTTTGAGTGATCTCAAGAAGACCTAACTTAAAAACAGGTATTTAAAGACATGTTACAAGCGGCAAAGCCAGAAGCCGTACGCATAGGTCCACTACGCCATCTATCCACCTCGCAAAGAACGGTTATATCCTCTTATTACCTATATGTTATGTTTAGAATAGATGAACCGGAGATGCCCTCCTCCCTTCCTCTTTTTCAGTAAAACTCTTAATGTAATGAATAAATACTATACGATTCTGTGGCATTTGTGCTAGTTTATGCCTAATTTCAATTAAATTTAATAAAAAGACCAAGTCTAAACTAGTTTATGATAAGTTACCGGTGAATGATGTTATTGATGATTTGTGCATTGTAAACTGCCTAACTGCTTAAGAGCCAACTGACGGCCGTCATATTTGGAAATAGTGCTCACACACGCCAGATATGAACGACTCGACAATTATGTTTTTCTTGGCCTTGATCGCTGCATGTCCAATGACATGGTAAAATTTTAATGTCATTATCATGGCGTCATGGATGCCTGAGTAACCTTGGAATATCCTCCCCGAAATAGTCTGCACATCTTCGTGGGCGTGTAGCTCAGATTTTAGAAGGGCCTCACGGCCTACGGCCCAGCGGTCAAGTGACTAAACGGTCTTAAGAAGGGCAGGGTTGTGAACTGCACCGAATGATCTTCAAAATTGTCAAAATCTAGCAAAATCATTCAGAAGTGCGCGTCGCATGTGTATTTCAGTACCCAGTCACCTCAAATAACCCAACGTTTCCCAATCCTGTCTTCACCTTGGTCCGATTTTATTTCCAGTTAAGCGACGTTCTATGGTCGTTGTAAACGTGACACTGTGTCATAATAAGTTCTGGGTATTTCTGTGTGTAAAAGTTTCGAATTAGAGCATAGCAGGGCCAGGTACTAAGGGAACTGTTTCAAGTCGAAGATGTTGGAGTAAGCATCGAATATGATGAAACAAGCTCACTTATAAGTACTGGTGTGCTTTGAAATGAAAAAGGCTGCTCTAAACAGCACAATTTCTCTTTTTAGTAGATATGCTCCTCTATACGTCATTGTTTGACTACGTCATCGTACAGTGCATAAAATCCATTAAGAGCCACTGGACGGCCGTGATATCTAGAAATCGTGCTCACAAACGTCAGATATGAACGACTCGACCGTTACATCTTTCTGGGCCTTGGTCGCCGCGTGGTCAATGGAAGGGCAGGATATGCATGACGCTATTGTGACATCATGGATATCGGGCGACCTTGAGATAGTCTGCACGAAACAGTCTGTATAGATTCGCGTGCGTTCAACATAGAAACTAGAAGGGCTTTAGACCCTAAGTAGGTCAGTACTGTGAGCCGCACCGAATGATCTCTAAGATAGCTATTTCGCTTGAAGACCTCATACAAATGTGGAACGCATCCTTTAAGCCGTTGCTGAAGTGCGATCGTGGGACTTCCCGTAAATCTGCAGCCGTTTGCATTCAACACATCCACCTAAGCTCGGTCCGATGCTGTTGCGTCACTTGCAGCCCCTTGCAGTGGTTCAAGCCCGCGGCGAACGTTGCGTTGTAGCCTTGGAAAGCCACTCACGTCTTCGGCGACCCATAGAGAGCCATCGCCCATCCTCCGGCGCTACGTGTCCTCACTGCCAAACGGGCCCACTCTCTCTGTGTCGCTGATGTCGCCCTGGCTGCGGGCGTCAGTTTCGCCGATCGCCTTTGGGGGTTACGGATTGGTGGACGCCACCCAACGGCGGTAAAAGCTGCACGCTAGTAGGCGTCCGCCCGGGGAGGAGCGCTTGCCGTGCACTTGATCGCCAGCTGTCGGCCCACCTCTTACAGCCTCTCACCATGCGATGAGAGGCTGAGAAGCGTGCGGTGAGAGGCCGAGGAGGCGCGCGGTGAGAGGCCGAGGGGCGTGCGATGAGAGGCTGAGACTCGTGCGGTGAAAGGCTGAGACGCGTGCGGTGAGAGGCTGAGACGCGTACGGTGACAGGCTGAGACGCGTGCGGTGAGAGGCTAAGAGGCGTGCGGTGAGATGCCAAGATGCGTGCGGTGAGAGGCTGAGATGCGTGCGGTGAGAGGCTGAGGTGCGTGCGGTGAGAGGCTGGGACGCGTGCGGTGAGAGGCTGAGACGCGTGCGGTGAAGCTAGAGTCGTGCGGTGAGATGCACTTGCGTGCGGTGAGAGGCAAGACACGTACGGTGAAAGGCTGAGACGCGTGCGGTGAGAGGCTGAGACGCGTGCGGTGAGAGGCTGAGACGCGTGCGGTCTGCCAGCCGTCCGCCGGGAAGGCTGTTGCCGGCCGGCGCTCTTCCACTCGAGGCGGGCGCAGTTGTCACGATCGGGACGTCTGTGGTGACAGCGCTGGCCGTGCCAGCCCCGCGCGCGGCACGCGCTGACGCCGCCGGCCGATCGGCAGGTGGTGAACCTGATCCTGCAGAACATCCTGCTGGTGCCGCCCGACACCTGCCCGTCGGCCGTCTGCGACATCATGGACGCCTGCTGGAAGTCGGAGCCGCGCGACCGCACCAGCTTCTCGGACATCGTGCTCAAGCTGGCGCACATGAGCGACGCCATGAAGGGTCACAGGTGAGCCGTGGCTGGCGGGCTCCGGACGGCTGGTCGGCGGGAGCGGAGGGGCATCAGACTTCGGGCCGCTGCAGGTGGGAGCTTATGCAGGTTTGGTTTTGTTGACAGGGATGTGCGGTGCAACCACGAGTGAGACATAGTTTTTAATGGTTGCAATTGTGGGATGGGTAGAAAGTTGATCAAGTTTACCAGCAAGATCATTTTTACCTGCACGTCCATTGAAGAGTATACGGTTCGATGGCCCAGCGTCTTGGTGTACTGTTACCGCCAGCACAGCTAAGTGTCTGCTCTATATTTAAGCTCTTAGAATTGCGCACCGGGCCGTTCCACTCATCACACTGCATACGAGCATTGCATACGGGTTAAAACAGACAACGCTCCGTTGAGCCGGGACGTCAGCAGGTCCGACAGGCTTACCCGCTCACACGGGCGAGCGACTGAGTCTCTGCTTACATGACTGCTCCTTGGGCAGGTACGCCAACGTGGACGCGGTGCCGTACACAGAGCTTGAGCACAACCTCAGTCAGCTGGCGCGCATCGAGGCAGAGGTGCGCGCACTCGGCCTGGACGAGGAGGAGACGAGCGTGCTGGACGAAGACCTGTACCTGCGGCCGAGTGGAGGCCAGGCGGAACACGACTACATCCAGCCGATTCCGTGAGGTTTGGTGGCGCGCTCTTCCCAGCGACGGGCGGCACGAAGTTGCTCCCAAGTCTCGGACGCCGTGCGGAACACTACCCGCCGCTGTCGCTGTCGCGGGGACGAGCGGTGACAGGGACGTGGCCTCAGTCGGCCGGCGGGGAGGATCACCGCCGATCCGTGGGAGGCCGCGGTGGCCTTCCCGTGCTAAGCGTAACACGGAGAGCGGTGACGAGCCGGCGCACACTCGAGCGCCGCATGGGGCCTCGCGAAATGACGCAAACTATGCCCCGAGGCGTGCCGTCCTCGAATGTCGAATACTCTGCTAGTTGTTACGGTGCCCATGGCGCCCGAGACGTCCGCATGAGTGGGCCGCGTAACGGCTCGTCTGTGGCTGCGCGCGGTGTTGGGCCTGCCGCGGCCACCAGCGCCTGGTCGTGGGGCCACGCAACGGTCCACTGCGGCAGAGGCGTGACAGCTGCACAGTGCGACGCGACGACGGATCAGTGCGACGCAACAGCTGCACAGTGCGACCCGACCACGGCGCAGTGCGACGCGACGGCGGCGCCGTGCGCTCCGACGCGGCTCTCGGACTCTGTGGAGGCGGCTGGTGTCGGTCGCCATGTGACTGGGCTGTGGAACTGGTGTTGACAGGCACGCTGGCTGCGTGACGCAGTGGGGTGACTGAGTGCCCACCGCTGTTAAGTCGCGCGTGCTGCCATGTGCGTGGCGTGGTGCGATCGCTTCATTCGTGGCGACTCCAGGAGCCCTGGGAGCTTCCCGCTGTGTGCTGGAAGGCCACCGTCTGAGTCAACTGCTGTCGATTCCTGGGAACCGTCGTTCCAGCTTTTCCTTGCCATTTGTAGTGGATATTGATTTAATGTCGTAGAGTTGTACCCATGTATGTTGCATGTTTCGCTTCATGATTGTTCACGCACGGACAATGGCAGCGTTTGATGACATGTGGGAGGATAGGGGGTCCGATGTGGCTGTCGCTGGACTGCTGGCCGCTCTCTCTCCGTGACCTCAGCAAGGAGCAAGGCTTCACAACTCACGCCCATCCACACCGCTGCGTACTGCTAGTCTTGCTGTCTGCCCTGTGTACAGCTCTTCAGTTATGCCGCAACTGATTATCTGATGTTTGCTGAACACTCGTGATACTCGGAGTCGGACCTCAGCCTGGATGGAAGCTGACTACGTTTGCACCTAAATCCTGGAGCGAAACGCAGCTCCCTTCGCTGCTTCTCTTGTCTCTGTTTATGTACATTGCCAATCATGCAACAGTTTCCATAATTTGGCCTCAGGCTTTAATACCTTGTTCTGTTCAAGTTCCATGATGATCCTGGAGGTTCATAATGTCCACATTCCCAGAAAACACTGATGTCGACCATTTGAGGTGCAATGAGAGAAGTTATCAACCATTTGCTACGAGATATTGTGTACCGTTAGGGTATGCAAGTCACTGCGTATCTATTCAGACTATTTTTATGTCTGATGAGGCTGGCCAATGTCACGACATGCAGTGTATCGTGTGTTGGTAAGCACTTCTAGCTGGGATGGCTTGATTTTAGTGTTGTACTGGACGCCGTGGGGTTAATGGTCCTGAGCTCTGTGTAGTTTGAATGTACAGCAAATGCGCAATGCGCATGCTTTTTGTGTGGACTCGTAGAGAACCTCCACCACTCACTGCGTGTTGAACGTGCCAACTGTTGCGTGATGCCTCGCTGGGATGACGTGTTGAATCGAAAGAGTAAATGGATTGTATAGGTAGTCATGTGTTGTGTGGCAGGAGATTGTACGGGAAAGAGCAGCTCAACACCGACGCTGCTACGCTGGCCAGCACTGTTAATTCTGTCCAGCGCTGATGGAGTTCTCAACCAACTGCACAAGTGGCACGCGCACTTCCAGAGGTGCTGTATACATGGCCAGAGGGGCCTGAGAGGATGCATCTCGATCCACTCTGGGTCCTTACTTGCACACAGCCGGCTCGGGGTGCCCGCCCGTACACAGTCGGCTCTGGTCCCCACCTGTACGCAGTCGGCTCTGGTCCCCACCTGTACACAGTCGGCTCAGGCCCCCACCTGTACACAGTCGGCTCTGGTCCCCACCTGTACACAGTAGGCTCTGGTCCCCACCTGTACACAGCCGGCTCTGGTCCCCACCTGTACGCAGTCGGCTCTGGTCCCCACCTATATGCAGCCGGCGCTGGGTCCCCCAGCTGTACACAGCCAGCTCTGGGTTCTCACCTGTACGCAGGACTGGAGTGCAGTTGCGGTAGCCGGCGAGTCCGTTCATGCGATGGTTGGTCAACTGGAGCACAAATGCTGGGAGCTCGCGCACCTGCCGGGCTGCGGGCATGCATTACGACTCGGCCCGCAGGGCTTCAGGCACCCGCTCTATTAGGCTCAAGGCGAACTCTCCGAACTTGGTGGACCAAAATGCGCGCAGTGTGCCAAGACTTTCTGAGGAAGGCCTTTGAAAGTCAACAGGCACCGGATTTGAAGGCAATGAGCTCTGCGAGTACGAGCGTTTGTGCTACGCGGGTGCTTGCGCGGGAGGCATGAGGCAGAGTCCTGCTATTCAGAGCCTCAGGTGTGATACCCAGTTCAGGCCCTGATATGTGCGGCCCCCTGATCTAATGACGCCCTACGAAGCCACTAGGGTCTGCACCATCGTGACAGGGAGGTTTCAACCGGGGAGAAAGAGAGAGAGAGAGAGAGAGAGAGAGAGAGGGGGGGGGGGGGAGAGAAGTGTGCATGCGGGTAAAACCTAAAACATAGTTGTCTTTAACGTACAATCTACAACATGAAGATGAATAAAGTCATATCTGTTATGAACTAGCTTTCAGATGTCATCTCTAATGTTCTACATAAAGGCCATTCCAAGCTGATGAATCAGATGAAATGAACTCCTGCTGCTAGGTAAAAGAAATCTTGCCTCCACAACTCTAAGATGGTACAGTGCTTGTGAGATGTAAGGCATGCTAAGTATGCAAATGAAATGAAATGACCTTACCAATATTACACACATTATAGGCTCCGAAACCCTCCGGAAGTCGCCAGATCCTTGACCCTTGCGTGTCAAGGGTCAAGGCAATGGGCCTGTTCTTTATATGTCCGCTCAAAGTGTAGTTTCAAAGTAAAAGTGCCTTTTGAAGCCTGTACAGGTCAAAGGGGGGGGGGGGGGCTCACATGTGTAAATTTGACACGATGCGCGTGCGCACAAGCCAACGTTCCAGAGCCAGTTTGATGCCGGCGTGGCCAGCGGGTGGCGCGTGGCGTGTGTTGCAAATTGCTTTTTCAGCCCATTGATTTTGTATAGGTGGTTCGACAAAGCGACCGACGCCAAAGACGGCGAGCGGCCGTCGGACGCCGTCACCGCATCTCGGCAACCTTAGGTCAGAGTGGCGGAGCGTCTGTGGGTCGGAGTGGCGGAGTGGAACGCTTCGATAGGGAATGGTGCAGGCATTCGCATGCCGGTCAGCCGTATCCATATTGCGTGAGCTATGAATTGAGTAACTTGCATTAATTCTATTCGAAGTCAGTTTATGCTGAGAAACCATATGATTTGGTGGACACCTGACTAACCAAGGTAACTGGCAGGTATACAAGGTTAATATAATGTGGGTCGATGACTGAATACCCACTGGGCCAAATTGTGTCGCTTCGAAATGAGCCGTGAATTTTGGCGCTATTGCAAACTCGCGATAGAATGACTACAATCTACTGAAATTATGCGGGGCGTAGTTTCCGTGACAGGGGTAAATGGGCGAGAAAAGAGCAAGGAAACTATCCCATCAACCCATATCCTAGTTGCGTGAGAGTGTGAAAATGGATAATATTTTGGTGTGTAAGGATGCGCGCCGTGAGCTATGACGGACAGGGTAATAAGCAGTTCCAAACTCAATAGGGAACGAATTCAAGCGTTTTATTACGGTAGCGTCAAAATGAATTGAAAATGTACATACCCGACCACCGCGGTAGCTACATCCCTGACGTTGCATCATCAGACTCCCACATATTCCGTCCATTAAAAGACTACTTTAGTGTGCCACCACTATCAAACTGGCTTCGAGCTCAAATGCGCAGCGAGGAAGTTTGTGGGGGGGGGGGCAAAGGCAAC